CATGTAATAATTACTTGGTTTCTAGGTGTTTTCAACTCACTTTACTCCGCTAAAAGTTGCGGCGAAACTTTTCAGGCGAAACAAGCTAGGCTAAGACACTGAGAGAAATAGTTAAGTAAAGGAGCGGGAATATAAAGGAATTTGTAGGATTTAAAGACTCCATTTTAAAGATTTTTTATAGCATGACTAACCAAGCAAATCTCTTTTTAAGAGAGTTGAGAAAGTTTAATAAAGCATACAATTTAATTAATATTTAGTCAAGTATATCAACTAATATTGATTGTTAAAGAAACACTTTACAGTGTGTTCATGGAGAGTTTCAATCTTCTTCTCAAATATCAGTTAAAAATTTATTGATTTCTCATCTTAAACCAAGCTAGCTAAGGACCTTTTTCCATCACAATCTTTCTCCCGAAAAAAATACAAGAAACATTTATAATTACTTTCTTAAAGTCTGTAATTATTTACTAATACCAAGCCTTTTAGCCCAGTGCAGTAGGTAAGAAGAGAGTCCTGGTTCTGACCCTGCTGCTAAGCGAGTATTAGTGGAAATTTAATATTGCAATTAATACAGCAACAAAGTGTGCATTGCATATTAATAAGTTAGTTTGTCGCTTCCAGTTTGAGTGAGTGAGTGAGTTTAGCTTGGGTTCACATGTGGGGTAACCTCTATGCTGTAGTTTTCCCTCAGTTTTCCCTAGTTTCCTAGCTGCTGTGTGCTCGGTATGTGTGCTCGGTGGATTAGTGCACTGGAGGGCAAACATTTTGCGCTCGTAAAAGCCAAAGTTACAACCCCGCAAGTTGGCTTTTTTCCCGGTGGGTGAGGAGGAGGAGGGGTCGAGGTAAAACAAGGGCAGGGCACGTCGCTTTTAATGGCCTCAGTGTTCAGTTCAGTCACTCATTCCGGCGCACATTCAATATTCATATTCATATTCGTACACTCACTCCTCCTCCTCCTCCTCCTTCTGGCTGGTCGCCGCATTTAAGCTTTTAATGATTTCGGAACAAAGTTCTGGCCAAAAACTAACAGCAAAAAAAAAATAGTAATTTAAAGGAAAATAGGAAAAAACCGACATTGGATGCAAAAACTTTTCTCTTAATGCGCTTAGCCGTGGCCGTTTAACTGCAAACTTAATTCGCACACACATTTTTACTACTCTTTTTTTTGTTGCTGTATTTATTTTATTTTTATATTTTTTCAGAGATCTCCTTTCACGCGCCGCGCCATTCAAAAGAAAATCTGGCATTTTTTATGGCTACCCCGGGTTGGCGACAAAAAACTATTTGTGCAAACAACAAAGAAAACTTGCGTTGGCAAAAAGGAAAATCATCATCATCATTGGGAGCGGAGGAGCAGCAGCAGGAGCATCGGGAGGAGCAGCTCTCCAACTAGACAACTACAAAAGCGCAACAAAAGCAATTTAAATTTAGCCAGAGGCTTCGCCAAGGAATACTGGAGAATATACTCTGCCAGAAGAGAGAGGGAGCCTTGTCCGAGCGAACAAATTTCATTTCATTGCCGAGCGCGAAACGTTTTTAGTCATAACTTTTTAATTTGTTTGTCAGCGACAGGCGAGAGGAGAAACGAACAACGCTCAAAATCAGACCAAGAAACGCACACAGTGGGCCAGCAAAATCATTAATTTAATTAAGAATAAAATAGAAGTGACAGTTGGTCAGTTAAATAAATTAAGAACTCACTTGTTTAAGAGAAAATTTTGGGAAAAATGGTACTCCGATGAGTACGAAATCAAGATTTTTGATGAGCCCCAAAAAGTGTGCTACGAAAATCGATTGGGAGGGAACCGGATAAATCATTACAATGCCGGGGTCCTGTGTGTCCTTTGGCTAAGTCCTAGCCCAGCCGAAAAAACCCCCCTGCTTAGACCAGCCTTTTGATCAATGCAAAAATGCTTGGTGTTCATGTCTCTGGGGTTGATTTATCTATTTACCCAGCAGCCTCGTCATCAGGGATACCAGGACCAGAAACAGGACTCTCCCCCTTTTTTTTCGTAGCTGTCAATATTTAAAACGTTGTCCTGTTTCGGAGCACGCAGCTGCTGTCCCCCGCTCCTTTGGCGCTGCGTGCTTAACAAGAGTTTATTGAATTTTATTTTCTCATCTCAATTTGATGCAAGCACGAAGCAATTCCTTTTTTTTTTGTTTTTGGGCAACATATTGCTTGTCCCATTTCTTGACACACTTTCTCCTGTGAGGAGGTGGACTTTATCTTTGCTGCATTTAAATTTCAAATTTATTTTATTGCCGGACAAGCCCCGGGGAAAATAATTGAAATTTTGTAGTTGAAAAACACTTTTTTGTGCGCTTGTAAATCGCTTATTATAAAATAAAAAAAATATATGAATGCTGTTATAAATTTCAACGCGAAGCAAAAGAAAACTTTTCCACCGTGTTCCAAGGTTCCCGAGTCAAGTTTTTCGATTACGGATTAATGTAATTTTTTTCCCCCTCTCACATCCTATATACTTATATATACATATTTTTTATTATTATTTTGTTGATTCTGCTGTTCCCCATGCTGACCCCCAGCAGCATCTCATCTTTGCTCATCTAGTTTGTTTGAGTTGGCGGCGGCGGCGTGCGCGGCTTGAAAGTTTGATGAATTTTTAAATTTAAAAAGTTTATTTGTGCGTTTGTAAGTTTGGCCGGCAGTTATCCTGGGGAAACTCTCTGGCCAGCTTCCAGCTTTCAGCTTATTATTTATATTATTAGAAGTGCAGGCTGACTGACTTCGACACTTCAAAGCGAGTTCTGTGCGACACTTGAGCGAAACATGTTTATTTCTATTTCCTCTCCCCTCCCTCGAGAGTTCTGGCCTAATTTGAAAAATTGTCTATTTACGCTAAGAGTGGGACTCTGGAATCTTTCATGTTTCACTGTCAATATCCTTGTTTATCCTGCGGTTTTTGTGGTGCTTTATTAGCACCTTGGGGTTGTTTGTTGCCGGCTTTCAGCTTCAGATACAGTTTCAGTTTCAGTTTCAGTTTTATTTGCTTAGGCAGTTCACTGCCTGCTTCCGTGGAAAATATTTGCCAACAATGGGGAATTACAGGTGGAAATTGGTAAAGCGGTTGTGTCGTACAAATATGCAAACAAATACTCGTATAAATGAATTCAATTTAAATATACAACCGTGTTTTTTGTGTGTGCTTAAAACAATAATAATTACATAAGCATGAGCAGAAGCATCGATGCGTAAACTATTTAATCACAAAATATTTTCATGTCCGAATGCAGATGGAAAATATAACCAAATGCAAATCAAATGATTTAAATAATTGTGGGTGAGACCGTATGTTAAACAAAATCAATTACAGATAATTTAACGTGGCCCGGTGTGTGTCTGGGTGTGTGTAGGGGAAAAGGTCCTTATAATAGAGTCATTTAAGTACAGTTTAAACATTAATGAGAGTCCCGGGTATCGAAGGGTGTTGTGGTAATTGCAGGCAGCTCCTTTTGCCCGCCGCGCGATAAATCGATAATAAATGTGGCAGACCCGTTCCGTAGAATAACAAACAGGAGCACACACATACGCACTGTGGACAGCCAACACGTTGGACACTCGGACACCTAACACAAAGGACACAGGATACGTGGGGGGGCAGATACACGACACTGGCCACAGTGGCCACAACTGGGGAAATACAACTGAAAGAGGAGCAAAAGGGTCACCACTGGTCGTTCTTTGGAAAAAAAAAAGAAATACAAACACTAGCTGGTTGCAGTTTGCAGCAACAAATTGCAGCTACATTTTCAACGCCAACTAATCAATACGGGCGACATGTGGCACGGCGCAGGAGGAAGCACCGAGGACCAAGTCCTGCCGGAAAAGTTGGCGGGGACAAAGTGTAAGTGCTGGCCAAACAATTGCGGTTAATGTTCGCCTGCAACGCGATAGTTATGACTGATAAAATAATAAAACCCAGTCAGGGTTGCTCCCCCCACTTTTCTTATTTTTCCTTTTTTTTTGCAAAAACCCCTCTCATGTCCTGCCGGAACTTTCCACAAAAAGTTGAGATTGAGTCTATAAATTCGTGCGGAATTTATATAGAAACCCGATCGGTTAGCCAGAAGCTCATTTGTATGCTGGTCAGCTGGCCAAGCGGTTGCACATTATTTTATTACGCGCAATTGACTCACACAACCCAAAAAAAATGAGGAAAAAATAAGGGATCCTTGAGCCGGACGTGGGCCAATAAAAAAGCCCAAGTGAAGGATAAAAGGAACCCAAACGGCCTGAGCCCTATATTCATATATAATTTCATTTAATTGGCATTTAATTGTCTTCCAATTCGCACCCTAACAGCACAGCAGAAGGGAAAGGAAAATCCTTTAAAGGAAAGAAAGAAGGAAACTAAACTATTGCTTTAAACGAAGAATTATAGTTTCTTTTAATATTAATTTTAATAAATCGAAACCCAAGAATTTTATATTTTATAAGTAACCCCTCCTAGATATATTATTTTTCTTGGTGTATTAAATTCTATATGCAAACTATATAAGTTTATTATATATACAGAATTTTCAAGAACTGTTATTAAAATTGTGAGGCAAAGTACGAAATTGATCAAGTTTCAAATAGGAATAAGGATACATTCTTCCTAGAGTAAAAAAATAGAAGAATTTATCAAGTAGAATATTATGGTTTAAAAGGTATTTACAACTAACTTAAGGTTCTTACAATTCTAATCATACAAAAATCTAATAAAATACAACATTCAGGATTACAACAGCAAATGAGAAAATTCTACGAAAATTCTACATTGGTGAGTGATGGAAAAACCAGAGAGAGAGAGAGAAAGAGTGTTAGTTTTTCACAAAAAACGGCAGGCAAAGCGGTAGAGTTAGTTAGTTAGTTAGTTAAAAAAAAAGAGGGAGAAAAGAGAGTTAATCTATGGATGAAGGAGGAGAGAGAGAGTTGTTTTCAAAGCGTTTTCATTTTTTTCGTTTTTCTTTTTTTTTTTAGTGAACACACAAACCTTTTTAGGAGAAGATAAGTGTAGTGAAGTTGGCGATGGCATAGAACAATCAGAAGATGCAGAACTGCAACCGCTGCTGGCGCTGCTGCAACCCCGAACGCTGGCCAGGATCAGGGGTGCCGGACCCAATATGGAGGCGGCTATCTCCTCCTGATGCTGTTGCTGGTACTGATACTGCTGTTGGCCAGCGTTTGGGATTCCATGACCGCCGGCTGCCAGCGGCTGCTCTTTAGTAGTAGTGGTAGTAGTTCTAGTTACGGCTGATAGATTAACTGTATTATTTACATTGTTGGTCGGTGTGGTGGCCGCCGAAGTGGGCGTGGCCGGTATGATCGTCGGAATGATCGTCAGCGGTGTGCTAGGCGCCGCGAAGAATTGCGCCGGCACGGAGATGGGCACAGGACCCACAGCACCCACTGTTGCCACAGTTGCCGCCGCCGATGGTTTAGTGGGCGTCACCGGTACACTGTTCACCTGCAGTTGCATGTATGTTTGCAACATGGCCTGAGCCTGAGCCTGAGCTTGAGCCTGAGCCTGAGCTTGGTAGTGGAACTGTTGCTGCATTTGTTGCTGATGTTGCTGCTGCTGTTGCGCCTGCTGCTGCTGCTGCTGCTGTTGCTGCTGAGCGGCAATGGCTGCCACTTGCTGGTGGAACACTGCCGCCTGATGTTGCTGCTGCTGCTGCTGGTGTTGCACCTGCATGGCCTGATAGGGATGCACCTGCGGCTGTTGCTGCTGCTGCTGTTGCTGCGGATGCTGATGCGGATGCGGATGTGGAGGATGCGGATGCGTGGACGGCGGTGCGTGCAACAATTGCATTTGCTGTGCGTGGTGGGTTCAGGTTCAGATTATTTGTTGTATTTGGTTTTATGATCTGGGTTTTCAGTTTGGTTTTTGAATTGGTTTTTCTTTCCTTTTTTTTTCTCACAAAAAATAATTACAAACATAAAGTTGCAACAAACTGAAAAGTTGAGTGTGTGTTGAGTGGGTGGGAAGTAGTCCTGTAATGTTAACCAAGTTCCGTGATCTTTTCGGATACAATTTTATGTGGAAGTGAAATTGATAAGAATGTGATTTAATCTAAAAAGTGTAACATTTATTTAAATAAATTAAGAAACTATGTAATTTTCTTAACTATTATAAAAAGATGTTTTTGCAATTATTTGTCTTTACTTTGTAAAGGTTTCTAGAGACAAATTGTATAATGATTTTATAATATATTTAAGATCTTGAAAGAACTGAAATTCTTCTCTGCAATTTTTGCATTATAAATTTCGTTTATCAATTCCACTTCCACATAAATTGTTCCGAATTCTCAGGGTTTAGGTTAATAATCACTGTGTTTTATAATTTTCTTAAGTATCTGTAGAGCTGGAGAATAAGAGTTTTGGTCTACAGGAAGTGATTCTTAAAAGCGGCATCTTAGATAGAGATAGCAGAGAAGACAAGTGAGAGATAGAGAGAGACAGTGAGCAGAGAGCTGAGCTTTAGCGAGCGCTACCAGTGGATAGTTAAAACTACAATTGGAACCAGAGATAGAATCATAAAGATAGAGACGGAAACAGAGGCAGTGATAGAGACAGAAACAGAAACAGAGACAGAGAGACAATAGCACAGAGATTTGGTTGTTCAATTTCAAAAGATCTAGGCCCTATACTCTCACAATTTGGCCACAAATGCGAAAGAAATAAAGCTGAAGCAAAGAAGCCGAGAAAGTTTTCCTATTTTTTTTTTGCTCGTGGCCAAATCATGTGTTTGGTACTTAATTAGATTTTAATGTCAATGGCTTGGCAACCTAAAATACAACCTAAAAATAAACCATACATAAATATTTTTATATACAAAGTGTTAAGTGTTCATTAAAACTAAAACTAGTTTCCCGACACAAACCAAAACAACTTAAAGTCTAAATTATTTACAACTAAAAGTAAATTAAGCCAACACCATTGACACATTTTAGATCTATTTGAAATTGATTGGAATTGTACAGTTTTAGTTCTTAAGATATATTTTATAGATTAGATTAGATTAATTATGACAGATAGATTTAGAGAGAGAGAGAGAGATGAGAGATAAGTATATAACCAAAAAAAATTAAGTTTAGGAATATAGTTTTTGGCTTTTTTTTTTTGCATAGTAAACTGTACAAGTTTCATAATATATTTTGATTGCTCTTTATATAGTTGGATATAAGTAGTTATGGCCTCGATCAAGATAGATATATGTGGGGTTCCTGATACTGATTTTCGAATTTCGTTTTATATTTTTATAATCTTTTTTCTTTTTCTGGTGATAATTTTGCGATTTTCTCGGTAATCATTGATATCTTTTTTTTAGACTGATTTTAGTATCGGATTTTCTTTTGGGCGGCGCTTACCATGATTAAATCTTGTATAGGGGAACACTCGGCCGAATCGTTGGCAGCGATCTCGCTCTTTACCGTTGCTGCTGCTGCTGCTGTTGTGGGCGGCGTGGGTGTGGGCGTGGGCGGTGTGGGTGTGAGCGTGGGCGTTGTGGGCGTGGCAGGGGCGTTGGCGCTGGCGGCAAGCGACGCTTGAGAGCTGCTGCTGATACTGAGCGCTGCAATCGCTGCTGACGCCGTGGTTTCTGTTAACGCGGCAATGATGACAGTTTTATTGGCAACAAATGTTGATTAAAAATCTCCTTCGCTTCTTGTTTTCTTTTTTTTTTTTGTAAATATTTTTTAGCACTTTCGTTTTTTCTTTAGTGTTTTTTTAATTTTTATTAAATTCTTTACTTTTGTTTTTGGCGCGTTACGAAGTTTTTAATCGTGATTTTTTTGTTACTTTATTTTTTTTTGGTATTTTCTTGACGGGTGTTTATTGAGTTTGGGGATAATTGCACAGGATTTGATTTGATTTGTGTGTGTTTTGGTGAATATATAATATTTTTATATATATGAGCTCTGTTTGCTGTTATCTATATATATCGAATATAATGCCAATTGAATTAGTTTTCGATGTTCTTTGCTAAGAATATGCTTACAATGCCAATTGTGTGTCGTTAAGCTTTATGCGAATTGTTGCTACAATAAGTCAATGGACAGAGGAAAAAAATAGAGCATGTAACCACCTATTTGCTATCTGATTTTGAGCGTACTTTAAATGTTAGTATTACCTATAATTTACGATATATATCACTACTATCTTAGACGATTGTAAATATTTATGTGTGTGTATAGAGATTTGAAAACCGCTTTGAAGATTGTTTAAAGTTAAGATTGATTGTAGATCGATTGATTGTAGATTGTTTAGGATTAAGTCTCGAAGGTTTTACCAAGAGGAGGATTTGGTTTGTTGTTGTCGCTAGAGATTGTCGTAGAATAGAGGTTCGATTTAGGATCTGTAAAGTGTGCTAAAAGCTAGCAAAAGTTCTTTATAAATATATGCCGCACAGATTTAGAGATGTATATATATATAAATCCTATATTGTCAGAGTCAGTAGATGTTCTGATCCGATCTGATGTGTATATATATGAAATACGCTAATTTCGTGTGATTGTCAAAACGCGATTTCTTGTCGATCGAGGCATTGATTAGACCCGGCGATCCCCCAAAAACTCCCTTAAAATCGTAAAGCCCCGTCTTACCTTAAGCTACTACTTGTGATTGATTGAGTGATTGAAAGATTGAGAGAGATAGAGTGATTCGAGATTGGGTCTCTTGATTGACGCTGCTTTGTTTAAAACCTACAAATTGACTCTACACGCCTCGTTACAACCGATATTTTTAAGTTTATTGCATAGACAATTAATGATTTTATTTTATATATTTATTATTCTGTGTTATGTTGAACAAACACTAATTTGGGGGATTTTTATTTATACATCTAATTCATTTCTGGCTATTTCTGTTTGATTTTTCTCATCGTTTTGTCCCTCTTTGATGCGCTGATTGATTGAGTGATTGATTGATATGTTGCTCTATTTAAAACGGGTTGATTTCGCTCATTTGTAAATATTTATACTTAATTTTCGATTTAACAACCTTTATTCGCGCGGTTATCCCTTCACGTAGCTAACGGGGCTATCACCTTTTTCCTTTCCTTTTTAACGCTTTTGCGGATTTTCCCTTTTGTGGTTTGCCTTTGTTAATTGATTTTCTCCCACTCCTACGCAAAAAAACAGCACTCTTTTTTTTGTTTTTAAATTACGCTCAAAATTAACAACCGAACATACAAATATATATAGATATATGTTGGGGATATATATGTATATATAAATTTATATAAAATTCACAATTCTCTTCGTCGATTTCGCTTGTAAATATCTTTTGCAAATCTTCGATTACACTTAATTCGAATAAATATAATTTAAAATACTGTTCTGTATCGAATGAAATTCTTCTTGATTTTCTTGATTTTAGCAACAATTCACCACTTTTTGTGTTGTCTTCTTTTTTTGCCTGCTTCTTGTTTTGTGTAATTTCTTTTTTGTTTACTTGATATATTTTGTTGTCTTTTGGGTTTTGATTTTGATGCTTTTGATGGTTTCTGTTTGATGGCTGATGGGTGTTTTTTTGGGTCGGGTTTTTAGGGTTTTTTGGAAAGGGATTTTCGGATTTTGGGCTTAGAAAAATACCAGGGGAACTCTTTCGCTTTGATTTCTTGTTAAATATATATATTTATATTTATATTGGGCTTGTTTCCTGCATTTCTATTTCAGTTTCTGATTTGCTGGTCAAGAGATGGCAGAGAATTTTTGTGTGATTATTTTGCACCTTGTGAGAGGTTTAAATGAAATTGAATGTTTGCTTAAAAATGTAAATCAAATGAAAAGCTCTTCACAAAATAAATTGATAACATTTTTGGAATTTATTTACACATTTTTGTATCGTTCTTGTATTTTTTTTTTTTTTGCCAATTCAAAGCCAAACTTGAAAGCTCCAAAAAAAAGCAAAATATATATTGTAGAAATGGGAAACCAAATGAAGTGAATAACAATTAAACACAAACAAATGAATAATAGTTTTATATGCACAAAATAAGAAACAACAAAAAAACGAGACACAATGGGCATGAATATTTAATAATAATTTGCTCTTATTACCAATTAAGTGTCGAGTCAGAGTCGGTTGAAGTTTTTGTTAATTTTTTGGATGAAGAGTGAAGAAGAGTTTTTTGTTTTCAATAAATATTTGTTTGTTTGTTTCTTTTTTTCGCGGAGACTTGTAATTATGGCTCTGGAACAAAATCAGTAAAAAAAGAAACCAATAATTGTATGGAATATTTCGCGTTTTTGCTCATTTAATAATATTTTGTGCTCCCCTTGTCTCTCTTATTTCGAGTGTGTAAATAATTTAATTCTTTTTCTTTTATTATTATTGTTGTTGGTGTTGTGGAAAAAACACGTTTTTTTTTTGAAGCTACTCTCTTGACTGCCAGAGATTCTGATTAACACACGCACGAAATTTCTTTGGCTTTACCGGTTTCTATATTATTTTTTTTTATTTTTTTGTTTTTGTTGAGTCACACTTTGGCTTGGTGCAAAAAAAAAATTTAATAAAATTATACAAGAAGAGGTAGGACTTTCAGGTAAGAACCGAAGCGAGGCCAAGTGCTAGGCGAAGAGCAGACGTGTAATTACAACAATAAAAATAAACTACGGGAATTATTCGGATGCGTACTTAGCAATAGCAATAGCAATAGCAATGGCTATAAGCCATAGCGACAAGTGGCCAAGAGAGAGGAGGCTCTCTGGGTGTGTGTGTGTGTGTGTTTGTGAGTGTGTGCGGCCTATTGGAACGCTGTTGGCCATAAGGTTTTATGGCCAGAAGAAGTCGGCTACGTCTGCGTTTTTTTCCCTCGTCTCTCTTCTCTCCGCTCCTCTTTCTTTTTATTTTTCGCCTGCTATTTTTTTCTTCTGTGTTTTGCTTTGCTTATATTTCTGTCTGTTTTTTTTTTTTGTTTTTGTCAAACACAAAAACGTGTTTCTTTGTTGGCCTGTTCTGTGCGTTTTGCCGGCTTGGAAATTTCTTGGCCTATGTGTCTGGCTTAAACCGAAAAAACAACAAAAATATAAAGAAGAGTGTCTCCAGAAGAATGAGAGAAGTGAGCAAGAGAGATTGATGGCTCAGAACTTGTTGTTGCCAAGGCCTATAAGAGGCGATGAGTTCTTTTTTTTTGGAACTTGAAGAGCGCTTCTCGAGCAACGAACTCGCGGCTCGTTTTTTGTTAGCATTTATTGTTAAATTATTAACTTGTTGGGGAGCACAAAATATTGTAAGCCTTTCTTTAATACTGTTTTTGATTTTATTTCGAATTTTTTACTCTTTGTATTTTTTCTTACATTTGAAAGAGAAGTAGCACTGGTTTGGAAAATGAAATTTAGAGTTTGGTTTTTGTTTTATTTTTTGGTCACACACGCGCTAAAAAAGCCGGAAGCGGTTTTCGGAATTTTCAATTGATTCGTTATTATTATTATTATTCGATTCTTTCTTGTTTGAAATTTCTCTAGAGTTCTCGGGGAGTGGCTGTGATCTGTTCAAGTCGGGCACTGAATGTGAACTGCGCGTATTATTTTCTTTTTATCATTATCCGCGTGCTGAGAAGGTTTGCGTTGCGTTGCGTTTGCGTTTGCGTTGCGTTGTTGCTGCTGTTGCGGCCGTTTTCGATTTGAACCCGACTTTGATTTGGATATTGAAATTTTCGGAGGTGAGTTGCTGCTGCTGCTGTTGCTGCTGCTGCTGTTGCTGCTGCTGCCGTGCTGCTACTGCTGCTGCTGCTGCTGCTACTAGAGGATGATGTCGCCTGGCCAGCGGAGGTGTGTGCTACGATGACGATGATGATGATGGTGGTGGTGGTGGTGGGTTTTCGCTCTGTGTGTTTTCTACGCTGGCAGCAAACGTTGACTTCGACTGCGACTGCGACTGCGACGGCAAACCACCGGACTTTCGATACGGAATAATGATGATAACTGAACGGAATCAGAGGGTTATACGGAATACGTAAGCACACCGTTACGTTACGGATACGATTACCGGGGAGGGAGAATGCAAACACGAGGCTGTTATACACGAGCACAAAGACGAGTACTACTATATTATTCCTATATAATAGAGAGCCAGCGGCGGACAGAGTTTGGAACGGGTTAAAGCAAAGACTGTACGAAGACTGAAGTAAGAACGACTGGCATTCTAAGGTAATATACCTTTTTGTTTCGGAGTCCGTGAATCTGTTGCGCCGACGCCGGCGTTGGCAGCACTGTCAGCAGCGACAGCGGCGGCAGCAGAGGAGCGCGTGTTGTTAACCAAAATAAAGCAACAGTGAGCCTTCCCACCAAAGAACCGGACTTCGGGCCAAGCGAAAACCGAAAAACGAAATGCGAACCGAGCCGAACCGAGTCGAACCGAGAAACGAGAGGCTAACACGAGAACCAAAGAACCCATCATCATCGTCATCATCATCATCATCGGCCATCGGCTCTCATCGTCATTCGGAATTTCTCCTCTTGGCAGCGGCGACTCCGAAAAAATTCTATGGCGGAGAAAAGATGGCCAAGGAACAGCGAAAAAAAAGTGGTTCGTCATCAGTAGCACACCTTTGTGGTGCTCTCTCCTCCATCCCATTCTCTCTCTCTCTCTCTCTCTGTTCGCTCTCAGCTGTTGTTGTTAACCTGCTGCTACCTGCCGGCTGTATTGGGATTTTAATTCGTATTTCTCCTGCTCTCCTCAGGTGCGCAATTATCGCAAGTGCCTTTTGTTCAGTACTTGCAAAGAGCTCTTATACCAAAAATAATAATATCAAAGAATCAAGAGATATTTTGTGTAATATAATAAAATATGAAATATTTATAATATTTAATATAATGTAGACTAAATCGTTAATACTTTTATGATTCCTTTAAGATCACATTTTAAGCTTTAGAAATTAACTCTTATATTTCTAGTATTTTCGAGGAATGAATCGTACTTTATACTTTGTATGAGAATTTAGTGTATAGAAGGAAGTCTTAAAATATCACTTTATACCTTTAATCTTTAGGATTAAGTTATTAGAGGATATTTTAAGGCAATAAGCTCTGAGAAGTCTTAAAAAAGTGACAGATCATTTTTATATTCGTATACCTTGAACTATAAAAAATAGTTAAGGTATTGAGCTCTTAAAATACTTTACAAAAAAAAAACGAACATATGATATTATATTATAATCCTAAGTATAATCCAATAAAAAGATCTTTCAACAAATATTAAAATTGAGGAAATAATTTAAGAAGAAATAAGATAATAATAAGTCTTAGGAATAAACTACTACCTTTAAAAGGATTATAATAAAATAAAATGCTTATATTATAGCAAATATTAAATACGAAAAGATAATTAAAAAATTATTTTAATATTTTATAGAACAAGAATTAAAGGAGCTCGGCTCTACCTTATTAAGGAACATTTTAAAAAGATATAACTATTTAATAACTTCGAAATTTATATAAACAATAGTTATTTATGAGATGGTCATAAAAGATTAAATAAATATTATTTTTTTTAAATATTACATTTAAAACTGTATTACTATTTTTATTAAACGTATTAAATGAAAAATAAAATCAAATAACAATAAAGGGGGATAGGAATATAAGACATTTTTGAGGATCGCAAATGTAGGAGTATTGTTCGTATTTCCAGCTTCGTTTTCTAAAAATCCCGAAAGGGAAACCCCCTTCAAGCTTAAGCCCACCTCTCGTGCTCCTACTCCTCCTATTTCTACTCCTCTTTCTCCCCTTCTTGTTCTTGTTGCTGTTGTAATCGCAATTGTTGCAGTAACATTACTGGCACACACACACACACACACATACAAACACACTCGGACTTCACACACCCACACACACACACCCACGTGAGACAGCAAATGCATGCGCTATGCGTGTGCGCCACCCAAAGAGGCGTGAGTGCAAGCGAGACAAGGACACACCAAAAGGTGCAAAAGGTGCAAGCGAGTGAGGGAGTACGAAAGAGAAAGAGAGAGAGAGTGAGGGAGAGAGGGAGAAAAAAGGCAAAACGACAACGACGTCGGCAGCAAAATCAACGAGAAAATAATAATTGTTACACCTGCTTCGGAAATGTGGCCCCCAAAAAGGGGGTGCTGCTGTTTGGTTCGGCTTTTCAGGTGAGCTTCCCGAGTGAGTGCCACCCCCACACTCCGGGGAAACCCAGCAACGCAGAATGCCGAAGCGCGGAAAGCGCGTTACTCGTGAAAAGCTGACGACGAACGGAAAAGCCACCAGCGACGACGGCAACTGATTTTCCCGATGACCAAAAAGCCGACGTCGACTCCTAAACTCGGCAGAGCGCATGACGCCAAGGTGCAAATTATGCGTGGTTATTGTGAATAGTGTGTGTGTGCGTGTGTGTTTCTCGGTGAGTGTGTGAGGGGTGTAAAATGCCCCCTCCCCAAATTCAGGGGTAGAAATTCTTAGAATTTGTTGTAAGGGGTAGCTCTGTCGTTTAACAGTATACCAAGGGGTAGTTGTAGCGTACTGTTAAGTGAAAGCTTCGCCTCGAAGCTTTCTGCTAAGTAAGGGAAGGTGTTTTGGAACCCTTCAAGAATTTTCATAATAAAAGAAAGTTTATTATAGAAGAATCAATTGATAAAAGATCCTAAAGAGATGGCAAAAAAAAGGTTACAACCCCTATTTTAAGCTGAACAATTGGTTAGGAAACGAAACTTTATATTCTTCCATTAAAAAAACATTGGGAACAGTTACTTTTTGTTCTAAAACGTGAATCTTAATATCCTAATAATGTTAAAGAATTTTTTTCAAACGATGACATTTTAATTATTATAATATATACATATATTACATATTTTAATAATATAAATATATTAAATAGGAACATTAATTTGCAAAGGGTCTACAACAACAATCAAAAAATACTAAAAACATTCCAAAACATAATATGTTGCTAGAGTTTATATATATTTCAGGGTATTATAGTTTGAGCCAAAAGCTTAAAACTAAGTGAAGGAGTCATTTTCGACCCTATAAATCATATATATTCTTGATCAGCATCAACAGCCGAATCGATCTAGCCATCTTAGGCCGAAAAAAAAATTTGAAATTTTTTTTAACATTTTTAAAAGGGTTATTTTTCAAAATTTCCACTAAAAAATAAACAAAAAATTGAATTTTTTAAAATCTTACATTGAGTATGCAGATTTGTTAACCTAAAAAAAAAAAAAACATTGGAAAGCTTTCCGAATTACATTAAATGGATTTTTGGCTAAGATATGAGTTTTTTAAAATTTGATTCATCATAAAAATTGCCATGTAAAAATATATATAACACGTAAAGTATAAATATGTACCTGGAACATTTTAATTATTTTACTGTTAATACTGCTTCAATAAATACTACATTTTATACAACAATAAATTTAACAAAGTAAAATGCATAGAAAATATCCATAAAGAAATCCTTGTAATTTCCTAACGATAAACTTAAATTCCAATCTGAGCCAATTTGATTTTATTTCCAATAATCGTCTAAAAAATGTAAAGCCATCTCAATCAAGAGTGGGCATAAAACACCTTTATAGAGAGACAGTATCCACTCTGCGACAGAGACAAATCCCTTAATGCACTTTTGCCCCCTCAGCATGCAAATAATGCCATGAGTTTTAACTAATAAAAATAAATTTCATTTACGGTACTTGCGCTTTTTTTTATTTTTAAGAACCTTTAGCCTGGCTACTACGTAAACCGAGACGAGGGTTTTAGCATTGTCAGCGGGTTGATTCAACATTTCCACCTCTCGAAAAAAAAAACAAAAACAAAAAGAAAGGAAGGAAAATGTGAAAAAGAAAAACGATTTTAGAGTTGCGTTAAAACCGACGACGAGCCAATGTCTGTGTGCATAAAAATCGCTTTGTTATTGTTGCAGGCGGCTGTTGTGGCATCAGCAGCAACAAAAACAAATGGCAATAACAATAACAACAACATGGAGCCATAGTCATCGTCATCGTCATCGATGACGCCCGATGAGAGCTGTTGTAGTTGTAAACGGTTTATGGGATTTACGCGCAATTTGCTGGCAACTTTCATGGAGACTACACTGAGGTTAAAAATTGGGTGACAGGAACATACATTTACTACAAAATACAGCTATATATTTTTAAGGAAATTTATGAGATGCAATTTCTAAGGGAATTATTATTTTACAAGTAAAATTTTGAAGGGTAAATGTAAAAACTGCCTGTAACAACTATTTTATGAATACGAAATATGAATATTATATTATTTACGATGACCTTTATAAATGTATTATAATAAAAGAATATTCTTTACAATTTCTTAACTATATTCTCTTTTTTTCCAGTGCATCCTGTAAATTGAGAAGAGGATTCAGCCTTCATGGGTCACATATAAAACAATATGCGTGCACCAATCTCTAAGCCGGGCTCGTTAAATGATTTGCGTTTGTTTTGCACCCCTTGGCATCCCATCCCTCTTGGCCCCTTGGTATTAGCCAGTATTAGCCCCCCAAAAAAAAAAACAACTGTGATGGGTAGTTGAAAAACAACAACATAAAGAAAAAGTAAATGTAAAA